ATCAAATGATTCGCTAATGCGCGGGGAGTAATTTCGGTGCACGGGGAGACCTGCGTGATGGGATAGGCCACTCCCGCACCTTGTCATTGAGGTTGGCGAGAACAGGATTCAAACCGTCAACGCCATTGGTGACAGACCGACACGTTACAGCTCGGCCAACGGACCACCTCCGAGAGTGTGAGAAATGTACACTGTAGTGTGGAAGGGTCCGAAACAGACTGTGTACTTACCTGCACAACAGAAGGCGATCATATGGAAGATCAAATTTCATAGATTTACTACCAGTGTCTCGGGTAGCCAGTTTAGATCTCGACTTGGACGCTTTCTTGATTCGCAGTACATGAGCTATGATGCGAATATTCTCTGGTGTGTCGTCAAGTTGTAGATTGTTGACGTGCAGGGTTTTCACACAGGGGTCATTAATGATGGCCATTGCTGAAGGTACATCTTCTCTCAGGAGTCGAGCAAACATGGCAATCTGTAGAAGAAAAGAAATCCTTACAAAGTAAACTGTTAAAACCAGTACAAGACAAACACAGACATAACATAAACAAAAGTAGTTATGTGAACGGTCCATATGGCATAAAAAGTGGTATCAGGTGTTCCGAAGGGGCCAGTAGTAGGAAATGTTGGAATGTGAGGTAAGGGGTCATTCCATTTAAAGGGGAGCAATGTTTGTACAGAACTGGTGCAGAAAAAATTTCTTCACTTATGTACAATATTAGAAATGGTATTTAACGCGAAACGGACATTAAATACATATTCAGCTTCCAGAGGGCTAAGGTATGGTTATGGCGTAAAGGAATGTTTGATTCGACCACTGCCACAAGTGTCATAAAACCTCGAATATACATATATTTGTTGGAATTAATGTACGACATAACCAAGAAACTACAAATCAATGTAAAAAAATGTTGATAAAAAAATCCCCCCCCCCCCCTCATAGTGATGAACACGACATGATTGAAAATCGACCCAGGCACCTTTCCACTAACCTTTTGAAATTGAAAAGTGTTTGTACCCTGACTCTGTACTTCGTTTCCAATACTCAATACCATGTCGAATATCATAATATATATATATATAGGGGAAAAAATTTCAACAACATTTTTTATATTGGCTATGGTTTTTAGTTTCTTGGTCATAATTATACGTACATTTCCAACAAATAGTAAAATGTGGATTCGACTCCTTCCTTTTACTGGTTAGGGTTACAGGAGACTGAAAAGTCGTATCAAACATGAATGCCAGTATTCTTTAGATATACATGTAGCCTATCTATAAATACCGTAAGTCCGACAATAATAAATAACATATTTCTGATTTTATTGTCGTCTTTTCCCACTGGCACTGGTTGTACACCATTTTGAAACTAGCTGACGAAGAAGACAGCTCGGGCGGCGATTGTTCGACTCCGGGCTGCTCTGTCAGTATGTAACAGACGCATTTAGTTCGCGTACAACTTTTAAAAACCGAATGTCAGTATGGTATTTCTCACATAATTGGTTATCGCAAAAACAGAGAAAATCGACCCAGGCACCTTTCCACTAACCTTTTGAAATTGAAAAGTGTTTGTACCCTGACTCTGTACTTCGCTTCCAATACTCAATACCATGTCGAATATCATAATATATATATACAGGGAAAAAAAATTTCAAACGCATTTAGTTCGCGTACAACTTTTAAAAACCGAATGTCAGTATGGTATTTGTCACATAATTGGTTATCGCAAAAACAGAGAAAATCGACCCAGGCACCTTTCCACTAACCTTTTGAAATTGAAAAGTGTTTGTACCCTGACTCTGTACTTCGCTTCCAATACTCAATACCATGTCGAATATCATAATATATATATACAGGGAAAAAAAATTTCAACAACATTTTTTATATTGGCTATGGTTTTTAGTTTCTTGGTCTAGTTTCTTGGTCATAATTATACGTACATTTCCAACAAATAGTCAAATGTGGATTCGACTCCTTCCTTTTACTGGTTAGGGTTACAGGAGACTGAGGAGTCGTATCAAACATGAATGCCAGTATTCTTTAGATATACATGTAGCCTATCAATAAATACCGTAAGTCCGACAATAATAAATAAAATATTTCTGATTTTATTGTCGTCTTTTCCCACTGGCACTGGCTGTACGCCATTTTGAAACTAGCTGACGAAGACAGCTCGGGCGGCGATTGTTCGACTCGGGACTGCTCTGTCAGTATCTAACAAACGCATTTAGTTGGCGTACAACTTTTAAAAACCGAATGTCAGTATGGTATTTCTCACATAATTGGTTATCGCAAAAACAGAGTAAACTCAAAGCGAGTAATCTCTACTCAAACCTATAGTTTACTTACTACTTCCGTCACTAAGGCTTCCTATATTATTGTTTGTGGACGGTTTACTACTCAGTGATAAGCCTGCGCCGCAAAAAGAGGTCTCGCCTTTTATTATTAGTATAATGACTTCCTCATGTGCGGCAGGTTAGTTTGCTTCTAAAAACAGTGTTTTCCGTTCCAAAAAATACAAAAGTAATTTTCTACCAGATGACCATGGTTCTTTTCACCGATACTAGATAATTTCTCTCGGCGTAAGGATATAGCTATGGATAAGTTCATACAAGGTCAATAAATCCGCGGTCACTTCGGGTCACACTGTTGAGAAAATAAACCGATGGGTTTGTTTAGTAGCAAATCGAGCGTGAATCAACTGAGTTTGTACTGAAAAATTTTTGAGTGATATGTATGAACTGTCTTCACACATTCGGTTTATAATTAGCGATACACAGGTACAGGGGCAAATGTTGTACTTCACAGACTGTTTACCTCCGAACTACCTCCGCACGAAATCCCCGATTTGGGTACTTGTAAAAGAAAAAGAAATAGTACCTGTGCGCGTGCCAGTAAAAAAAAACCCTAAGAGTTCGCGCATAAAAATGCCCGAACGTACCAGGCGCCAGGCCATCCAGTAGACGTGGTACAAGGGTTAATCCGCGAACTGGATGTATGAGATGTGTTGTTGACGTTTGGGAAAGTAGGACGAGGGGAAATGTGTAGGGAGTGAAGTGCTGTAAAGGGATAGTTAGATGTATTATGAATGGTTAGAGTGGCTGTGGTGTTACGGTGAAATACTATGCCGCCACCGTAACACCACAGCTTTATGATTTGTTAGACATGAGTGATGTAATGGGTGTCAACAACTGGGTATGCTGGTACCGTCGCAACGTAGCCGTGAAATATATATTGTGGGGGGGGGGAGGGCGGAAACGGAAAAATATACAATGTTGACAGTATGTGCCAGGCATGAGGCTGCGCAGACCGAGCGGCAGCTCGATAGGGAGTGTGTGGGAGGGTCACCCTCATAAAAAAATGTTTTTTTAAATTTCAGTTTTCTGTAAGCAGTGAAAACACTATTTTGGCATTGTTTGCGGGGTTAAACCTAAAAATCACATTAATACACCTATTGCACGATATTGTGAAACTAGCTGACGAAGACAGCTCGGGCGGCGATTGTTCGACTCGGGGCTGCTCTGTCAGTATCTAACAAACGCATTTAGTTCGCGTACAACTTTTAAAAACCGAATGTCAGTATGGTATTTCTCACATAATTGGTTATCGCAAAAACAGAGTAAACTGAAAGCGAGTAATCTCGACTCAAACCTATAGTCCATAGCCTACTTACTACACTCGTCACTAGGCTTCCTATATTATTGTTTGTGGACGGTTTACTACTCAGTGATAAGCCTGCGCCGCAAAAAGAGGTCTCGCCTTTTATTATTAGTATAATGACTTCCTCATGTGCGGCAGGTTAGTTTGCTTCTAAAAACATTGTTCTCCGTTCCAAAAAATACAAAAGTAATTTTCTACCAGATGACCATGGTTCTTTTCACCGAGATTAGATAATTTCTCTCGGTGTAAGGATATAGCTATGGATAAGTTCATACAAGGTCAATAAATCCGCGGTCACTTCGGGTCACACTGTTGAGAAAATAAACCGATGGGTTTGTTTAGTAGCAAATCGAGCGTGAATCAACAGAGTTTGTACTGAAAAATTTTTGAGTGATATGTATGAACTGTCTTCACACATTCGGTTTATAATTAGCGATATACAGGTACAGTGGCAAGTGTTGTACTTCACAGACTGTTTACCTCCGAACTACCTCCGCACGAAATCCCCGATTTGGGTACATGTTAAAAGAAAAAGAAATAGTACCTGTGCGCATGCCAGTAAAAAAAAACTAAGAGTTCGCGCATAAAAATGCCCGAACGTACCAGGCGCCAGGTCATCCAGCGACAATACTAGACGATCACAAGGCTATTTAAATATGTAGCAGAGAAGAGAGTATGTGTCACGCGTTAGATGTGGAGGTTTTGTAGCCTTGTACTTTTGACATCTAGCCAGCGGCTCGCAGAAATGCATCGTTGTGAAATATTTGATTTGGTTGCCGAACTGTGCATAGTGTTACAATTGGTATTGGATGTTACTATAATCAATATTTCATTCAATAATTCATGGTGCCACTTGATTGTTGACGTGACAAGGCCTGACCTGGCGAAACTTGACGTTCTAGTTCTACAGATACCGCTTTCCGGCTATAGCAGTGGATCCTGTTATTACACTAACATGCACATGTAGACACTACATGATGCATTTTAGTTTTGATCAGTTAAATATTATTGAAAATTTCAACAGCTATTCTAATGACGAGAAATACAGACTTAATATAAGCCAAGTGATGTTCGAAAAGACGCCTGCCATGCCATATGAAATTTTTACCGTTGACAAGATCTATTTGATTTTGTTTTCACCTCTGCTGGTACATATAACAGCACAACACGATGCATAACATAATACATAAATAAATACATATAAATGAACATATCGTATTTCCCGCCATCTGATTGAATCGGATGTTATGACTGGTATGTTAATATATATAATTTTATGATTACTACAATTGCTTGCTGATTCGTCTGTAGCCAATATTCCACCATGTATTGCACCACAGAACTGTAATATACGATCTATGATTGCAGGTCTTCACCAGAACGCACCGTGACTAGCTCACAGCTTGACGTGTAATTAACATACCGTACATCCAAACTATCCGTAAGTATATTATTCGGTTATTACTACTTGCATGAATTAATTTGATAGGATACATTTATATTTAATCCATAGAGTAATTTAGTTTAACGGACGAAGAGGCCAAAATAGTGAAACGGACTGTCTGGTGTCATCGTGAACTGGCCACAACTATACTGCTCGGATTTGTATTTTATTTCATGGATTTTTATTAGTTATTTTGCTGTTGGGTTTGTGTGTTCAGTGGTACATACATAATATGAGAGTGAGAGCGAGAAATGGGGTTTAACGTCCACTCAACACAAACTAGGTCATTTCAGTACTAACATAACGTATAATTCGCTTGCACGTAGGGGTCTTTAGCAGCGGGATGAAACCGGAGGACCGGGAGAAACCCCACTAGGTTGGGCAGGCGACCCTAACTCCTTGTCACCTACAACCGGGGAATCGAAACCACCCACGGCCGTTGACTCAATGACAGATCTTGCCATGCCCTCCGTCTTGCACCACTGTACTATAGCCGCACTGGGGCAGAAAAGTAGGACGTTAAACATCCTTTCTAAAAATGAATTTAAAAATTAAATTAAATACTGTTGTTTACGTTGAACAGTTTATTTATAATTAAAGTAATATGTTTGCATCTATTCCATTCTTCATATTAAAAAACTTAGCTTGTATAAATTCATGTCCCGTAATACATTGTTAAGATTTATCCTCATATAAATAACATATCTGCTTATGTTTAATTTTGGTGCACGTTAAAGATTTAACGCATTTCCGCTATGCGCACAAATTCGTTTTACATTTAAGCACTAACCACCACCCAGTTTCCCAAGAGAGAACCAAACTTCAGACGTCTATCTCTTATAGTTGCTGAGACATAGCCCCCCCCCCCCCCCGAAAAAAAAATATATAATAATAATGTAGGAAGAAGAAGAAGAAGAATATTAGTAATAACAATATTCTTAAAAACCTAATAATCTTAACAGAAATAATAAGCTTTCATATAAATTATGAATATGAAAGCTTAATAATAATCTTAACAGAAACAATAAGCTTTCGTATGGAATATGAAAGTTTAAATATATTATAGAAGAAGTGTAGGTAAGACTTTTATAATATCCATATCAAATTTAATAGTTTCACAACTTGCCCCAAATGATTATCCAATATGTTACTGGAGACACTATTGAGTTATTTTGCTCTAGACACAAATAATGCTTGTGAGACTGTCATCAAAGTGGTCATTCGGTTCAGCAAGAAACTTTGTGATGCATGTAAATGATTCCATTGCAATTTAGATTTGAAATAGGAGTAGGTAATAATGCTGCCTGACTAAAATACTTTCCCCTGCACTTGCATTCACAATTCACATGTAACCACAGTCTCTAAATGACATCATGTGTTAAGTCATGCTCTTTTCATTTCCTTCCCTAGACTCAGTATTTTTACTTTTATTGTGCCATCTAAATAACTGCCCATGGCTGATTAAGACACACACATGTACCTGGTATGCCAAGTTTAAAACCAAATCGACGCCCAATTTGTCTATAAGCATACTTATGACCAACCCTTTAATGATGATGATGATGAGTTAGTTGTATTTTACGTCCGCTTCCACCGAGGTGATATATAATATTAGCCTATATATAGTAGTTGTGTCTTTTGCTAATTTGGAATTTCTCGGATTTAATATTTTGTGTTTGTTCTTTGGAAACAAATTTAACTTAGTTTTTGGTACACAATTTTTATTCCGAGGCATACCTCATAAACTTTATCTTTATGAAACTTTGTACAAACTTCAACATATGATAGTAGTTGTGTCGTTTGCTTATTAGAAATTTCTCGGATTTAATAATCTTTGTGTTTTTTAGTTGGAATGATTATTTTAGTTTTTACCACAACACATTTGACTTAGGTTTTGGTATATAATTATTATTCTAGAGCATATCTCAGAAACTGTTCAAGATACCTTTATAACACTTTCATATTCATCAACCTATTATTTTATTTTCTGCCTTGCCGAGCTACTGTGATCAGGGTATGAATCTTCTGACTAGTCCCATTGATATTCCAAGAAATTGGTTCCTTATGCCTTCCAAACAACTGCATGGGCGCGGAATGTTGATGACTGGTCATCTTGTTTGTAGTTTATGTGTTTTTATCTGACACAAAATGCGTTTTACTAAATTCAGAAGATGTGACTACAATATTATGAATTACCAATTTATTATTAAAGAACGTCCTTATAAATGACAGAGAATTTATATTTGTCAATCAGAGATATACTGGCAATCCACCGCTGACTCATTTTATATTGACTGACTCATTTTGTTTTGTCGAGAATGTACTAAACATCCACAGAATATCAATGCTAAATCTCTATTCTTTGGCACCTAAATATGGACATATAATAATGTAATATCAATGTATATAAACTGATTTACATTCAATCGTTTCTATTTTACTGTAATTTCTAATCAGTTATGATCGGCGAAATACGCGAAGAGTAACAGCTGAGTAGCATTCGTTGGCATCTTGGTATTCCAGTTTACACTGGTAGTATTCTCTCCTGGGCCCCGATCCCTAGAAAATTCTTAAGCACGTTCTTGTGCTTAGATTATAAGTAGACTTTGCATAAGTAAACTTATCTTATTTTGTGTTCCCAGAAAATTCTTAAGAACGTTCTTGTGCTTAGATTTTAAGTCTTCTTGGTCGTTCATCGATACGATGATGACTGTCCTCATGGGCTAGGTCCTTGTCTTGTGTGGGCACGGAGGTGGCTGATTAAGCCAATCCTTGATCGGCAGACACGGGTGCAGTAGGAGCAAGGAAACTATCCGGGGTCGTCAGGATTGGTGATTGACGCCTTTCTTTTTACCCTTGCTGGAGTCACATCAGCTAGCCTCTTTTCCTCGAAGTTGTCACGCGCATGGATGGTAAGGGCGCGCCAACCTGATCTGTCCATAGCATACAGCTCCAGCTGTTTGGGAAGGATGCCAGAGTGTTTGCTGTTGGACTTCACGCAGTCCTTGAATCTTCCGCATCGTCTACCTTGGTTCCGCTTTCCCGAGAGCAGTTCGCCATTCATAAGCTGCTGGGACAGCCTGTGGTCAGCCATCCGGATCATGTGACCAACCCATCGAAGCTGGGCTTTCAGTATCATGGCCTCAATGCTGGTGATCTTAGCTCTGTCCAGGACCTCGAGGTTTGTGATCCTATCTTGCCAGTGGATATTCATAATTGACCGCAGGCTTCTCATATAGAACTGCTTCAAATGTCTTTTGTACACAGTCCATATCTCGCATCCATAGAGGAGGCTGGTGAGGACGACGGCTCTGTACACCTTGAGCTTTGTGGAGAGCTGGATGTTGTGCTGGTTCAGGACACGAGCTCGGAGACAACCAAGAGCCTGACTGGCCTTGCAGGTCCTGAGGTTGATCTCTTTATCCAGGCTGCCATCGTTGTTGATGGTACTGCCGAGGTATCTGAAGTCATCCACTTTCTCCATGGAGATGGGGGGGGGGGGGGGGTCGGTTGAAGCAGGGGCAGGCTGAAATAGTTTTTAATTGATAACATCTTTGTTGAATTTGGAGGGGAAATATATCAGCAAGTGGTTGGCATCCCCATGGGCACCAACTGTGCACCTTTGCTTGCTGATCTGTTTCTCTATTCGTACGAAGCCGATTACATGCAGACGCTCGTAAAAACTAATAAACGACCAGTCAGACTTTTTAATTTCACTTATCGATATATCGATGACGTTTTATCACTTAATAATCCTAAATTTAGTGATTATGTAGAATTCATATATCCTGATGAGCTCGAAATTAAAAACACCACTGACAGTGATGCGTCTCGATTTTGACAATTGCCATAAACTGAGTGTTAAATTGTACGATAAACGTGATGACTTTGACTTTCCGATTGTTAACGTTCCATTTATTAGTAGTAACATTCCAATATCACCAGCTTATGGAGTGTTTGTGTCTCAGCTTATTCGTTACGCGAGAGCTTGTTCCTTTTATTCTGATTTTTTAAGTAGATCGAGGCATTTGTCATCTAAGCTTCAACTACAAGGATACTTGCGCACTAAACTTATTAAAACCTTTAAATAGTTTTATGGCCGTCATATTGATTTGATTGGTAAATATAACGTGTCTCTCTCGGCTATTATTCTAGATATATTTAATTGACACGTATACTATTACTATCTCCCTGATAATGTCTACTACATCGTTAACACAGTTCATCGCGTGCATTTTGCATACCGATAGTTCATTGGTCAATCACGCTATTTTACCGACATTTCGCCTAATAGTTTGGATGCAGCTATGGCGGGTGTGGCGCCAGGCAGGGTAAGCTTACTCTTCCGGACACCTGTTACCACTGTTTGTCGTGTATTTTGTACACGATGAGCAGTCCATTTGCTGATTACACTATTTTGCTTGAATACACTATTTTGCCTATAACGTTTTTTAGGACTTCGAATTCTGTCTTATGGTTTGGATTGTTCGTACTTGGTTTTATTTTTTTTTCTGTCTTGCCGAGGCTGATGGTGAGTCCGAACCTGTCCAGTCATGGAACTGGTGTAGAAGGTTGACGAACTTGTGTGGGCATCCGAATTTGGATAGAATGATCCAAAGGGCCTCCCTGTTCACTGTGTCAAAGACCTTGGTGAGGTCAACAAAGACAGCATACAAGTCCGTGTTTTGCTCTAGGCATTTCTCCTGCACTTGCCGGAATGTGGAGATCATGTCCACAGTGCAGCGGTTTGGGCGAAATCCACATTGTGTTTCTGGCAGGTTTCCTTCGGAAATGTTTTCGACTAGTCGATTGAGGAGGATCCGAGCCAATATTTTCCCAGCAATACAAAGGAGGGAGAGTCCCCGATAATTGCCGCAGTCAGTCTTTCTACACTTGTTTTTAAATAGGGAGACGACAGTGGCACCCCTAAAATCATTGGGCAGTTCTTCTTCTTCCCAAATGCTGGTATTCCGTCCATTCCGGATGCTTTGCCTGAGCTGGTATGCCATATCGCCTTTAAGACTTCATCCATTGTGTGTGTGTGTGGGGGGGGGGGTCGAGGCAGTGGACAGTGGGCTTTTGTGGGGTCAGGTCAAGAGCGAGGGGTCTACACTGGAGGGGCTGTTGAGCAGGTTGTTGAAGTGCTCTCTCTGATGCTACTCTTCTCATTCAGTAGAGTTGAGTTGTCTGCTGACAGGAGTGGGGTAGTACACAGCTTGGAAGGTCCATAGACTTCTTTGATGGCACTGAAAAACATCTTGTAATTCTGCGTGTCAGCGTATTTCTGGGCCTCGTCTGCTTTCCTCTCCCACCATTCGTCCTGCATCTTGCGCAGCGCAACTTGGGCCTGTTTTTGTAGATGCTTGAAGTGATCATGTCAAAAGGTGAAGGAGGGGTCGTTTTGCCACTCAAGAAATACTTTCTGCTTGTCTTCCAAGAGTGTCCTGATGTACTCGTCGTTCTCGTCGAACCAGTCCTGATGAATTCGTTTCCTGGGGCCGATGGTGGCTATTGCTAACTCCGTCACCAGTGTTCTGAACTGCTCCTACCTTTGAGTCCATGGGCAGTCATTCGGCCGTCCAGGTCTTTTGCAAATTCACTGCGTTGCAGATGTTGTTCAAGTTTGGGGACGTTGAACGCTGGTCTGAGCACTGTCGGCGTCTTGTGGAAAGTTGGAGCAATATGCAGGCAGGGATAGGATGGCCCTGACTAGGCGATGGTCTGTCCAACACTCCGCTCCTCGCATGGCCCTGGTGATCCTGATGTCACGGGTGTCTCTTTGGCGGCAGATGGCGAAGTCAATGAGGTGCCACTGCTTGGATCTTGGGTGCATCCGCGTTGTCTTGTATTTGTAATAGTGAGGTGTTGTTCAGCTCAAAGGCTTAAAAGTATCAAGCCATTAGAATTCAGCTTTCCAATTCCGTGGGGTCCCAGCACGCCTTTCCAATTTCTGCAGTCTGCTCCAACTCCTGGGTCAGGAGGAGAACGACTATTGCCACCAGGCCGCCAACGTGCAGGGTTCAGACTACAACTTCAGTGGGAACCTCCACCTGTTGCTTCGCTCGTTCCTTATCGCCGCCGGAATTTGTGTAGGGGTATGGGGACTAACACACACGAGGAAAGGCTGTGCGGGAGAGTGTTTAAATGGGAAAGTCGATGCACAGGGGCAATGCCACTCTCTCGGCCTCAGAAACCAGGATCTGGTGGTACGGAGGAACCGTCACGGCCAGGGACTTCCTCGGCTGCAGTGGATGACCACGACGTCTGTAGAGCCCTGCCGTGCTCGTAGCGCTCCACGACGCTTGCTGTCACCGCCTTCGTGACCATTGGGATTGAAAATAATCTCATCCGCTCACTCCGCCGACTACAGTCTTCACATGCTTGGGTAGGCATTCCCTAACTCGCCGAGGGTTTGAGACCCGACGGCTACCCTCACCTGGTTAAGCCCGCCTGTCGAAGTGGTTTTCCGGGGTGTGGCCGCTGTCGCATGCAGACAGCTGCTAGGAGCCACAGGTGAGAGCTGGGCGCCAGGTGGGGGCCAAAGCGGACGAGCCACCCGAGGGTGCGACATATTCCCCCGTCAGGGGTACTACCCCCCCCCCCCCGACACCCCATACACCCCAGATTTTAAGTAGACGTCAGTGTAAGCACAAGCACAACTTCGTTCTTAAACATTGTCAATCTAAACACAAGTCCCAAGCAAGGTATACAGGTTGCTTACCAACCTTAAGCCCGTCTGTTTCAATCAAGAGGGCTGACCGTAGAGTTATTCGACGGCATTTCCTACATCTTTTGATACAAAAAAGACAATTAAAAGACAGAAAATCCTTTAGAAACATAATTATTCTCGCTTCTACCCTGAAACCATTTTTCTTATATGCCAATTAGTAAACAACACAAACATGGGCTACTTTAAGATCAGGCGCTCTCACAATTATTCGGTCTGTTTGCATGTGCTTGTATTTTTGTTTTTTTTAACTTGTGGCACATTTTATATATAGGGGTCATGTAAATGCATCAAAATCGACCATTTGCCGGGAACCATCCGTCGAATTTATTACGTAATTCGCCCACCAAAATTGTTTTTATGACGTTAGAGAGCATCGTAGTCTCAGTTTACCAGACACGATGTACTTAGACTCGTACTTGACTTGTGCTTACGTAAGAACGGTCTTGAGAATTTTCTAGAGACGGTATTTTATAATGTTTCTTACGTAAGCAACAGTAAAGCATGACTTTGTGCTTACTTTAAGAATTTTCAAGGAACCGGGCCCTGGGATATGCTTAGCCTCGATCACCGAAAATCGGATCAAAACTGCCGGACAAAATGGCCGCCCCTCGTACACAAATCGTGTAAATATATGGTATATCAAGGTTGTGGACCCTCTAGAGGTCCCAATTTTGATCCGATTTTGATGACAATTGAAATTAATATTTATAACCCAAAGATCGTGGTTCCTTTCGATAGTCGCGCGTACCCAAACGTAACTTCCTGTATTATGGCCCCTGGTTGTTCGAAAAATCGCATTTTTAGCTTGTGGACCCGCTAGAAGTCTCAAATTATATTCATTTTTAAAAACCGTTTAAATTTTGCGAAAGAACTTTATCGATAATCAGTGTTCCGCAACATTTTCTTCTAGAGTTATGCCCCCTTAATCAAAAACTTTGTGATTGTGGTAGTGGCCACAGTTTTAAACTAATCGTCTTTTGATTTGGTGTGAGGCACTGTGTCGGTGAGAGGATGAACCCTATCGATATTAAGCTTTCTGCAACCGTTCGTTCTGGAGTTACAATATTAAATCCAACTGCTCTGTTTTATAAATCTATAAAACTATTTATTCATTAGTGATACAGCATACTGGACACTCCAAATTGCTGCAAATATTCAAAGAGAACTACCGTAGATAGGCTGACTTATTTTGATATTTAAATTATAGGTATGAATACTAATATGGCTGATGATGACAAGATTAGAAATGGTTCAAATGAAGAAACAAATGGTAAGGATTGATATCTACCTGCCACAACATATTTTTATGTATATTAATGGTAGTTTTGATTACAGTACTAAATGTTCCCCAAGCACTTTGTGATGTGAAATCTGTACTCGAAGACGCATACCAACTGTGTTATACGCCCCCATTTTCATGTGGATGTATATTGTAGTCACCCCTCTCCGTCCGGACGTGCATCCACAATTGTTTGTGGACACTCTACAGGTCACTATTTATATCCGAATTTAAAAAACGTTCAAATGTATCACCGTTACACCGTAATGACAGTTGATTTCGAACAAAATGGCCGTCCCTTGTACGCAGATAATGTAAATATATGGTATATCAAGGATGTGGGCCATTTAGGGGCCACAATTTTGATCCGATTTTGATGAAACTCAAAATTAGTACATGTTTATAACAAAAGATCTTGGTTCCTTTCGATGTTCGCGCATATCGGATCGTAACTTACTGAATTATGGCCCTTGATTGTACGACAAATCACGTTTTTAGGTTGTGGTCCGTCTAGAGTTCACAACTTTTATCCGATTTAAAAAAACGTTTGAATATATCAACGTTACACCCTAATGATGGTTGAATTCGAATTTCGTGAAAATCGAACCAAACTGCCCAACAAAATGGCCGCTCCTTGCACGCAAATTGTGTACAAGTATGTAATACGAAGGTTGTGGACCCTATAAGGGTCACAATTTTTTGTCTGATTTTGATGAAACTTAAAATATATTTTTATATCCCAAAGGTCTCGGTCCCTTTCGATTTTCGCGCAATTCAGACAATAACTTCTTGGATTATGGGCCCTGATTGTACGAAAAATCATGGGGCTTTATTAGCTTGTTCTCTGTCCATCTCTTGCAAAATGTGGGTGTGTCGTGCCTGGCAGCCACTGGTTGACAAACAGGAAGTGTTTTACGGATGGTACAGAAAATAATCTCAGATTGCCCATATCTCGGTTATTTCTCAACGGATCTTCTTCGGGTTTTCATTTTTCGATTCTTTGGACGAATCCCATATGTTTTTCGAAATTCGGAAAGTTCGCTTGATTAATATTAGCATCAAAGATTTGCGAACGTTTTCTTCATCATTTTTTCGACATTCAACATCACTATTTGAAGTACCAAGTTGTGGGGATAAGGAACGCATCAATGTCTTTAAAATGGCATATTAAAAAAAATTGTGACGGCTTCCGGAAATTACCGAGGCCTTCCGATTTTTCCAGAACATGAATAGTTCTCTCCATTTTAAAAAAATAGACAAGAAATGACATATGGTGTTCTTAGCCCCAGATATTATCTTTCATTTTCAAAGGCCTTGTTTGATAACATTTTCAATCGCTTGACTACGATATTGGATTTTACAAAAAACATTGAAATTGATATTTAACCGCCATTTTAATTCCGATTTACGAAACTTTCTTTTGTATTGAACCTACTCCAAATGGCGACAATTCTTAGGGAACGGATTTTTAAATTTCGATTTTTATTTCAATGACCCTTGACCTTTGTATGTATAATGACCCTGATATCTACTAACTATTAATATCAAAAAGTTCGGTATTGAAGTATAACTTCCGGTTTATTAAATGACAGGTTTTTCAACTTTAATAGGTACTTGATCTTACTATACTCATGGTGTAACTTGATTGTTGACGTGACAAGGCGTGATCTGACGTACCGAAACACGTCAGTACACCTTCTGAGTTCTAGTTATTATTATTATTACGACGAATTAAACATACCCAGTCACAAATTTACCATAACTGTAGCGACTCAAATCCAACCAAAAATATCAGTTAAATTAATCAAGCTGTGATTTTCGCTATTTTAGAACAGTTCATTCATAGTTACGATATATTACGCATGCGCTAATCACGCATGTCCACCGGAAATCAACCAGGAAGATGGAAATGCAAATGAAGTGAAATGGGGTTCAACGCCCTACTGTTCTGCTCCGAACTTGGCTAATGAAGACGGGCATACGCCGTACAGTGTGCTTTGAGGGAAATTTTGCCCGGACAGCGTCACTACAGTCTACTCTTATATCGCATTCCGACTGCCAAGGGATCTTTTACGTGCACGCCAATGTTTACACGGGACCTCGGTTTTCCGTCCCATCCCAACGACTAGACAGCTGTCCTTGTCAGACCCTCCATCCTGCATCACTGACAAGGAGGAACCACGCCGGAAAATCTGGATGAATTTTCTCGGCCAATGCAGGGACCTCCAGGCTAGCGAGCCAGCGTCTTACCCACTTAGCCACCGTGATCCCCAAACAAGAAAGACAATTTGACACCAGATGGTCAGATCTTAATAGTAAGGCCATCTGCAGATTTCGTCAAGGTCACGAGATGTAAACATGGTTGAACGAAATATGCAAGTGGCCTTAATAATCAGATCTAACCGGCACCAGACAATAGAGACTTTGGCAAGCGTAAATTCCTGGTCCGCATCGCTTATCAGTATGGATTTTGAGTGCGACGTCATCAATGTGTGTGTATTTCTCATAAGTGATACGGCTCGCGTATACGGCAGCACGTATCGAACTGTTTTCATACGGACGAGGTCCGTATAACATTGTCGTCTTTTTACTGTCTTTTGTGCTACTTTTTATACGCTGAATTGTTGTATCGTAGCGTTTTTATGAACCAATAGCTATCCTAAATCACGAAGGTATATATTTGATGTAATTTTAACAATGATAAAGACTGGAATTTAAGCATTATTTCTGATGGGGTTTTCTCGGAATTTTCATGCTTTTCCTGTCTGTCTGTCTGCTTGCTGTTTGATCTACATCCTACATGTAAATTTAGGGAGGTGGGACTTTGCAAATCTGTAAATGATTTTATTCTGTGGTAAAGGGGTATAAACTTTCTGAAATGATACATTAGTGAAACCGAAAATTGCTGTTGAGTTGAAGTCGAAGATTTTTTAATAAGCTCAGTGACTGTCAAGCGACTTCACTCCCTCCGGGAAATTGTAGGCTAGGTACTTGACTAGTACTGATGGTGATCTTGGTAGATATCTGCCTTCATGATGTAATAGAACTAAGCTCAGCTCAGCGATGCATACGTACGCGACGCGAAAATGTGCCCAAACTCTAAAACTACATTGACGTAACGTATCACGTATACGATACGGATATGTGATACGGATGGGGAAAATTCCCGATTGCCAAAAGTCTCTAATAAGGTGACTTTTCATGCCAATAGGCGGTCTCAAAACGAAATTTTAGATATCATCATGTTACATACCACTGGACACAACGTTAGTTTCTTTGTTCAAAACAGTAAACTATTTTATCTAGCACAATCATATTTACATACCTTGAGAAATGGTGTATGGCCGTCTTCCGTGCAGAGTTGAAATGAAAAATGCTTGCCAACCAACCCTTTAACATTTGGATTTTCAAAAGATGACTTGTATGCGTGTCAGACAGGATTACATGTTTTTGAAAGTTTACGTTGGGTTTGACTGAAATGTTACAAATGAAAATAATTAATCGTTTTGAAGAAAAAAGGTGACAATTGGTCATGTCGCTTCCTCCTCGAACTCCACGAACAACAACTACCATTTTCAAAAAAGTACGATTTTAAAATATTCACATGCACACATGCACCTCACTCATGGTTTATCATCGATACTCTTTTGAATTTAATGTGTGTGTTTATGTCTGGATGATGATGACACAACAATACATGTCAATAAGGCCAATGAGTATATCAATAGTACGGTATAAACCTGCTTTTGTGATATATTGTCTTGCCACATGATAGACTCGAATTTATTTTTCAGATGAGATAAGAATAGTGGCAGTTGGTAAAACAGGGGCTGGTAAAAGCACCCTGGGGAATGCGTTGATAGGAGAAGGATCATTTGAAGTAGGAGAATACAGTGAATCTGAAACCAGTGAAACCACAACAAAGGAAGGTACGTGGAATGGTCACAAAGTTAAATATGCAGACACCCCAGGGCTGTTTGATACTAAAGCAAGGGTTGATGAAGTCGACAAAGAGATTGGTAAATCTGTCGAACAGTTGTCTCCTGGTCCCGAAGTTGTTTTATATATTATAAACACTGACAATAAATTCACTTGTGAAGAATTAGTTGCTTTTAATGGGTTAAACCGCATATTTGGAAATACGGTTCTACAATACACGAATGTTGTGTTTACTCTCAGAAAGAGACGATCTAACCGAGAGGAATATGAAAAGAAGTATATTGAAAAAGCAAACCAAGATCTGAAAACGGTATTGGAAAAATGCTTGAATCGGTACAAATTCATTTACCACGAGAATGGAACCGATTCCAAATCCGATGTTGATGAGATTATGGGACAGGCTTTTACACTGAAGAAGGCTAATCACAAGAAACACTATGATAGCGGAATGTATGATCAAGCTGTAAAACAAGTCGAAGAACAGAAGAAACAAGAGGCCGACGAAAAGTTAGCAAAAGAGAAGAAAGAAAATGAATTTAAAAAGATTAAAGAAGAGAATAAGCGTTTGGAAAAAGAGCGGTAATTTTTATTTTTATGTGCTTTTCCAGGGATGAATACCCTTTCAACAAATGTCGTTCAAAGATTTAGCCTGATAAGTAAGCGTAGAAACCAATGTCTCTTCCTTTTCCAAGCTCTTTTACCCGACCGATAGATAAGGATCGATTTAGTTTCAGTCTCGTCATGTCCGCAATTTTCCAGAAGGAAGAACATGACATATATATTGCGTCTCCACTGCATTTAACAGGTCATAATATCAGAAAAAGAACTGGACGCAGAAGTTTGGCTAGTATCTGACAACCTCGTCAAATCTCTTGCAACAATTGACGAGGAACACGAAGATAAATTGACACGATTCTGTATACCGCTACTCCATGAAACACCATAAAACATACTCGAACACTTCAACACGTATCCTAGAATTGTTCTCGGGAATTTTAGTCTGAGGGTGGGTGGGTACCAGAGATTTGTATTACATCTCGAGTACAAAAGTTTTGAGAGATAAACTCATCAGATGGTGGGATGGAAACCTCCGAATGATAATGCATTAAATAAGGTGCGCTGCTTGAAGTACCCTCCCCCCCCCTTCCCCAATAGTCAGTTTAAATTACATTTTTGAACTTTTTGAACACATCGATCAATGTGCCAAAAGTTTCATTTTGGCACTGTAATTATAGATTTGTCATTCTTACGTGACCAATTTAGTGCGAAACGCATCTAAGAACGGTCTAAAGGGGGCGATTGTTCACATTTAAATCACATTTTGGATACATTAATGAAACTTTGTTTAAATATTCTTTAGACCTTACTGATGAAGAATCGGTAATTCTCGAGTCTTGGATTTGTTGCAAAATCTATTAAAAACGTCATAATTGTCAAGTAAATGCTATAATTATACTAACAATTGTGAAGTTGACATAAAATAAAATATTGGTGAAAATACCCGATGCCTTCATCCTTGGCAAAGAATAGGGTATTGGCTAAATTTTGATTTAAACCAAAATGGAGAAAACATAATGGACAAGGGAACATACGGAATTTTGGAAATCCATTTACGGTACAAGGTACAACGAGTTATTTCCCTATATGGAAAACAATAATTATTGATAACAGTCTTTATTCGATAAACTGAATAGGATTTAACAACAGACAAGGGCCTATATAAGTTCTACCCAAAAACTATATTTACTTTAATATCTGTAAACCCTTTTTATACGCCCACATTGAAATGTGGTCGTATATTGTAGTCGCCCCCGTCCGTCGGATCGTCCGTCCGTCGGTCCGGCGTCCACAATTGCTTGTGGACGCTCTAGAGGCTAAAGTTTATATCGGATTGACATTAAATTTATACACGGTATTTACGGTTATGAGACGAAGAAGCCTATTGATTTTCACTAGAGGCTAAAGTTAATATGCGATTGACATTAAATTTATACACATTGTTTAAGGTCATGAGACGAAGAAGCCTCTTGATTAACACCGATTTCTGATAATTACTACCAGAGTTAATATCCGATTGACTTTAAATTTATACACAGTGTTTAAGGTCATGAGACGGAGAAGTCTATTGATTCTCAACGATTTCCGATAATTACTGCCAGAGTTATGGCCCTTGATCACTTTGATATAAATATCTTGTGGACGCTTTAGAGGCTAAAGTTAATATCAGATTACATTTATACTCAGTGTTTAAGGTCATCAGACGAAGCAGCCTATTGATTTTCAACGATTTTCGATAATTACTGCTAGAGTTATAACCCTTGATCACTTTGATAAATCTTGTGGATGCTTTAGAGACTACAGTTATCATGTGATTAATTTTATATTGATACACCGTGTTTACGCCTATCTATAATCGTTTCGATTGACTTTAGATTGATACACCGCGTTTAATTTCTTGAGACGAACAAGTATATTGACTTTCAATGATTTTTGAACAGCTAAATCCATGATATTAAATGTTTTGTATACTAAACGTTAGCATGGGCCAAACAAATTCTGATTTTTTGATAATTACTTAATGAGTTGTTGCTCTTAATCAGATCTTAGTGTATTATAAATGTTTCATCACTAACAAAAGTAAAAATATGTGACAATATTGTAATGAAGAGAAAATAAATCAAATGGGGTTAAATGTCATACTGTCAACTCGTATAATGCATGACGATGAGCATGCGCAATGCATAATAGTTCAGGGGGGATTTTGCATTGTACATGTACAGCTAGTATTCCTGCTTTCCATGCCAATGTCATCAGTACATAGGAGCCGTGGTGACTCAGTATGAGTCTGGCTCTCTTACCGTGAGGTTCAGGGTTTGGTCATTGTCCGGCGTCTTTTCCCTTTGTCAGTGGTACAGGACATGGCCCGGTGACTAAGGCGCTGGCTCACTAATCAGGAGGTCCGGGGTTTCATCCCCGTGTTGGCCTAGAAAGTTCCACCAACTTCCCCTTGCGTTGTTTCGCCTGTCAGTGGTAAAGGGGGGTGAGGGGGTGTCATTGGCAGCGTCTAGTTATTTGGATGGGAAATAAAACTGAGGTCCCGTGTACACGTTGGCGTTCATGTAAGATAACTCTTGACAGCTCGAATTCGAAATAAAGAGTAAACCGTAACGTCGCTGTTTGGCAAGGTTCGCACTCGCCTTTAAACTCCTGAAAACTTCTGGAAAAATGAAAATGTGATTTCCAGTACTGGAAAATCCTGGAAAAACAAGATTACTCCTTGAACCTCCTGCAAAATTAACATTTGTGGTTTCGCTATATATTTTAAGATATAAAACTGAACGTAGTCATCGAATGTTTCTTCAAAAGTTCAGAAGTTCGTCGACGTAAATGTTCTCCAAACGTAAAAAAAAATACATTATGATTTAGAATTCTATACAGGAACTCATGGAATCTGGTTAATAACTCCTGGAATTTTAAGTGTTCTGAGTTGTGCATGCACTGTTTGGGCCAAATTCCCCCTATAGCATAATACGTGGCGTATTTAAATCTTTATTATCTCGGTTGCTACTGAACAGTAAGATATTAAGATGCAAAATCCCCCCTCCCCTGGACTATAATGCATTGCGCATGCTCATCGTCATGCTTTATACGAGTTCACAGTAAGACATTAAACTCCATTTGATTTCCTTTCTCGTCATTACAATTGCCACTCCCTTACAGTATCATTTAGTTTTTGACGTATATCTATATATTTAAGTGAGAAAAGTACATATTTATAGATTCTTTGTTTCAATCGCACTTGTTGGGAATGTAGCCTCAAATCTTATCTGAACTAAAGGTTAACAGATATATACTAGTAGAAATATTGTTTTGGATTGCTTTCGCTTCCATCCGAACGTTAGGGCACTGTCCTTTCCAGCCCTCTCCCGTCCTGTACCACTGACAGGGAGAAACCGCACTGAAGTTCTCTTGTCTTGTACATATCTTTGTAAGCGTAGTCAATATGAAAACGAAACAAAAAGACTGTTAAAGAGAACAAATTTGATGTTTATATATGTAGTAACAGCGATGATGATGACTAACTTTGATGGCATTTAAATTGAAAAGTAATTGCGTAATTTTGCTTTTCAAAATTTGACCATAAATCATATCTGAACTAGTGGTTTACAGCTACCTTTAGTAAAAACACTGTAGGATCTAATTGAAAGGGTATGTACAGTGTGGGTTTATATTTTAGAGAAAAGGTCAGGTGATTTCAATGCGATTTCCAAAACTACTGACAGATTATGGCCTCAATAACTTCATAACCATATTACTCAACTAATGTCAAGCATATCTCCTGGCTAATCAGACTCTAGCCACCCAGCTCATAATTTCTGGATAAACACCCGCCCACCATCCAAGGCAGTACCATGGGACCGCATTAACGATATAAATGTTGGACTTGTGTGCTCACACATGGTCTTGTGCGCCATGAAATACTGTTAACAATCTTGCCAAGGTTTGACAGAAAGAGCGATAACTCTTTTAAAACTCTTAATGGATTTCATAAATGCCATATGTTTCCTTGTCCATTATGTTTTCTACATTTTGGTTTAAATCAAAATATAACCAATACCATATTTAATTTTATGTCAACTTCACAGTTGTTAGTACAAATATAGCATTTTCTTGACAATTGTGACGTTCTTAAATGAATTTTGCACCAAATTCGACATTTAAAAACTACCGACACTTCATCAGTAAGGTCTAATGTGATCTAAATGTGATTTAATATGTGATTTAAATGTAAATAAATTGTCCCCTTTAGACCGTTCTTCAATGCGTTTCGCACCCAATTTGTCACTTAGGAATGACACATCTGTAATCAGAGTGCTAAAATGAAACTTTTGGCACCAGTTTGATCGATGTATTTAAAAATGTAATTTAAACTGACTATTGGGGAAGGTGGGGAGGGGGGTACTTCAAGCAGCGCACCTTATTTAATGCACAGATTGGTAAAGTTAAGAATTATCATTCGGAGGTTTCCATCCCACCATCTGATGAGTTTACCTCTCAAACCATTTGTATCTAGATGTAATACAAATCTCGGATAGCTCCTGCAATATTTTCGGCGTGGTTTCCCCTTGCAGTGGTGCAAGACGGAGGGCCTAATACTAAACAGTGTCTAGTCGTGCGGAAGGGTCGAAATACCGAGGTCCCCTGTACACATTGACATGTAAGTAAAAGAATCCTTGACACGTGGAATTGGAAATAAGAGAGAAACTGTTATAGTGCCACTGACTGGGAAAAATATTCTCGTTGCAAATACGTAGGACGTTAAACCCCATATCATTTTATTTAACAAGCATGGCTAGAACGTTATTCCTCGATTAACAGTGTTGATCACCTGTGATGTGGCATTGCTAAGATTCAAGTGGTATTGTATTCCCACGTATATTATTAACCTCTTCAAAAATAGCGATAATACAACATTTTTCTTTCTATTAAAATTGTATAATGTTGGGTAACGTTTTTGTGGTTCCAGATTGAGTGGCAGCGTTTGCACTAGAAGAAAAACATACACTGCGGTACTCCCCCCCCCCCTTTTTTTTTCTCTTAGCGTTCTTAGCACCGGCATATTTTGTTTAATCCAGGGAGGAAGACAACATAAAGCAATTAAAATTCAAGAACCAAACGTTACAAGCGATGGAACGTGCTGAAATCGCGGGGTAAGTTTATTTTTATTGGTCAGTTTAAATCTGTTTGTGGACACTCTCCTGGTCAAATTGTTTATTCTATTTTGATTGACACGCATCGAACTATAGATTCATGGATTGCTGCTTCTGATTTTACGAAAATCGCGTCTATAGCTTGTGGACCTTCTAGAATTTAAAATTGTCATTCGATTTTGATAAAACCCATAACATATGATCGCTCCCTTTTACGTAAATATATACAATTTTGTCCGATTCAGATAAAACTTACAATAATTGTTACGGGTCAAAATAATTTGGATGAGTTCGACATGGTGCTTATCGGACCTTCCGTGCCGTAGTTATGTCCCAGCCTACTAAACAAAGTGTGAAATATATACAGAGATTGTGGACTCTCAGATGCGACAATTAACTTAAACGTACATTATGCAAGAGCTAAATCTGCCAATTGCATGTCTTTCTTTAGGCCTGAAATGTAATCTAAATTATTTATTAGACATTAATTAACTTATCCAGACAATAATCAACTCTCGATGTCATCGCTAGTCTGTGATATGTACTGGATTAGAATCATATCTGCTGTTCAACGCTCATTGATAATTAAATCAAAAAATCGAGACTATGTTTTTTATCGTACTAACTTTAGTAATGATGATCGAGGCTAGGCCGAAAATTCAATCGCTAAATTCTCGGTTCAGAGTGAATCTATGTAACTGACATTTGTTTGTGGACACTCTACAGGTCACAATTCTTATCCGATTTTGAAGAAACTTGAAATATAGGTTTATCTCCAAAAGATCTCGGCTGCTTTCGATATTGGCATGTATCGGATCGCAACTTCATGGATTATGGCCCCTGTTTGTACGTAAAATCACGTTTTTAGCTTGTGGACACTATAGAGGTCACAATTTTTATCCGATTTTGTTGAAACTTGAAATGTAAGTTTATAACCCAAAGATCTCGGCTCCTTTCGATATTCGCGCATAACTTCCTGAATTATGGCCCCTGATTGTACGAAAAATCGCGTTTTTAGCTTGTGGACCCTATAGAGGTCATAATTTTTATCCAATTTAAAAAACCGTATTATTATATCACCTTTACACCCTAAGAACGGCTGAGTTCGAATTTCGTGAAAATCGACCCAAAACTGACAGACAAAATGGCCGCCCTTCGTTCTCAAATAGCGTAAAAATATGGTATATCAAGGTTGTGGACCCTATAGAGGTCACAATGTTTATCCGATTTTGATGAAACTTGAAATGTAAGTTTATAACCAAAAGATCTCGGTTCCTGTCGATATTCGCGCATATCGGACCATAACTTCCTGAATTATGGCCCCTGATTGTACGAAAAATTGCGTTTTTAGCTTGTGGACCCTATAGAGGTCATATTTTTTTATCCGATTTTTAAAAAAAAGCGTTTTAGTGTATCACCGTTACACCCTAAGGACGGCTGAGTTCGAATTTTGTGAAAATCAGCCCAAAACTGGCAAGGAAAATGGCGCCGTTCGTTCTCAAATAGCGTAAAAATATGTTATATCAAGGTTGTGGACCCTATAGAGGTCACAAATTTTATCCGATTTTGTTGAAACTTGAAATGTAAGTTTATAGCACAAAGATCTCGGTTCCTGTCGATATTTGCTCGTAACGAATTGTAATTTCCTGAATTATGGCCCTTGAGTGTAGCAAAAATCACTTTCTTTTTAGCTTGTTCTCTATCCATCTCTCGAAAATGTGGACGTATCCTCCGTATACGCGAAATAAGGTTGATGCGAAGCCGAAACTTTCTTCGTGTAACAACCGAGGGGTGAGAGGTCTATATTAGGCATACAGACGAATGAGATTAACGGGAAAAACACCCTTTTATTCAAAATGGATTAGTCCTCTAGTTGTCATGATAATATACACGTGAGTGAAGTTTACTACAACACACGTCACATTGACCCTAAACTTGTTTGTTTATTCTTCAACATGCAGTCAACTGAGTCTGATGACGAATTGTTAGAAGCGAAACAATCTGTCGAAATGTTTTCCCCATTTGTCAACAATGAAACCGAACTTCCAACAGCAGTTTATCCACATTATTCTAATATTTCGGATTCTAATGACGGCATGAAAGATTTTTTGTTCAGTCTAATAAATAAATTCATTGTGCGTTATTGATTTTCTTGGTGATGTCACAAGCGATTGATATCCAAAACTAACGATCATGGAAATCAAAGAGATAATTACACCCCGTTGTTGTGTATCGATAATTAGTGACACGCGATCTTTTGTTTAATTGTTATGGCCCTTAACCGAAAACTTTGTGAATATGACATTAGCCAGTTTTAACCGATCTTTTTCAGATTTGGTGTGAAGTATTGGGTTCATGATAAGACAAACCTATCGATATTCAGCGTTCCGCAATCTTTTGTTCTGGAGTTACCCCACATTGCCGAGAACTTTCTGAACGTTACAGGTTTTAACAGATTATTTCAAATTTGGTGTGTAGCATCGGGGTCATGAGAGAAGGAACCCAATCAATAGTAAAAGATCCGTGACATTCCGTTTTGATGTTACCTTCCGTTTCCGAAAACCTTGTAAACGCGATAGAGTCTACAGATATTATCGGATTTGTTTCTAATTCGATGTGACGCATTTACACAATCAGCTTATTAACCTTATTTCCCAATTATCCGTCCATCTATAACCGCTTTTACTTGTTTTTGTAGATAGAAATTATATTTCCACAAAATATTTTTAAAGATTTCTGTTAGAATTGAAATTAATATACATATTCAGCATTTTATGTGGTCAAAGGATGATTAATAACAACGAATTATATCGACTGACATTCACACATTGATATTTTAACTCATTAATTAATCACGTCGCATCAACTTCGTGTATTGCATAACTGTCTAAAGCCATTTACATTACGAAATTTGTTCTTTTGGAGAGTCAATGCATTACTGAAGGTTATGCCGAATTTGTTCATTTGGTTTTGTATATTAGGCCAGTAAGAGTAGAACAGTAGAACGTTAAACCCTATTTCATTTCATTTCATACCTTAACACCTTGGAATTGATCTTGACTGCTGGATAAAAAACGATACCTTTCCTCAGCTGGTTGTAAGGGCTTAAATGTATTTCATTTCTTTTTGCATTTTTTTTTCAGGCTAGTTTGTCAACTGAAATTATACAGATACACTGTAAAAACTTATGATGAACATGTAGAAAACGTTACAAATGGATTAAGCCATGCCCTTAAATCGTTAACTGAAAACAGTCAATATGATAGGGCAGGACAGGTAATAAGTTCTCTGGGTAATATGGTCACATCTACCTGTGGAGTACTGGGTGTAGTAACTGGACCACTTGGTGTCGGTGTAACGGTTGCACCAAGTGTTATTGGCTTTTTGGCATCCCTATATTTCAAAACAACTTCTGACGCTTTAACAGAAAAGGTATGTAACATTTCGCATGCCGACGAGAAGCATCTCGCCGATATAAGTACACAGGAAAATATAATCCTGAAGCTGATAATAAATCTGTGGTCTGAGAGACTAAAGTCAGATATACTTCATGCAATAGGTAGTACACAAAAACTTAAATATCGATTACAGACCTTGTTAGAACATCAAAACACTGATTCGAAATTTAAATTTGTATGTCAGGAAATCCAGAGAGCACTAACTGGTGTTGCTGGAATATCAAATGCCACTAAACAATTGACGACAACTACGACTATATATGCGGAAACTGATAAAACGATTCAATCTGTGGCGATTAGAACAGCGACTGATAAAACAGGAAAATCTGTGACCGAACAAACAATGCAAAATATGCCATATAAAGAAACGGAAATTTTCAGAGTTAAAAAAACCCCAGAAGCATGTCCTGCGCAAACTGCTATATTTGCTTTGGGATTGGTCATCGATGCAAAAAAAGTATACGATAACACGCTTGATTATAAAGAACCTGAAATATTTAAAAAAATAAACGTGAACATAGATGAGAATAAAAAAACTCGAAATATTTTAGGGGATCTAATGTCGGAGATAGATCATGTTATCACACAACTAACCGACACAAATCCTGGGGCATAGAGTATATATTGTTACACCTGTGAGTTGTTTAAGCTTCATTTGCAAACTTCCCAGGTTTTTATGTTTAACCGTTCGTTAAAGGTATATTTCAAAATATTTGATGACATAATGCAATCAATTCTACTATTCGGTTCACAAATATGGGGGCATACATATAGACACGATATAGATAAAGTACATTCTTCGTTTTGCAAATTCATTCTAGGTATCTATAAATCTGCCTCAAGTGGCTGTGCACTGGGAGAGTGAGGCAGAAACTGTATCAGTGTCTTTTATATGACCGCATGTATTAAGCACTGGTCTTGTTATTCTCCTTTTGGGTTTTTTTTTGTCCAATCTGCAAGTGACATAAAATGTTTTTATATCTGAAGTCAAGCAGCGACTAAAAGATATAAATATGCAGGAATGGTCAGCAAGTTTAGCCCAATCCGAAAGTCTGAGTACTGATGCTGATTTTCACAAACACTTTGTCAAGAAAATTACATGACTTGTTAGTTAAGCATTCACAAAATTACGAGGCAAAGATTAAACTTGTTGCCCATTGCTACCACCCTATTCAGGAAAAGCACTATTAAAAGTCAAATATGTCCACTTTCCAGTAAAGGAAACCAGACAGCCTTTTACTTTCTTTTTTAATGCCGTAATCTGACATATTTCAGAGATAAATACCGTTCATCCTTATTCGGAGCAGATTGTTATCTCCCTTATGTATTAGATGAAATTGGCCAAGCATCTGACAGTTGTCTGCTCTCATCTATTGCAAACTTTATTTACGAGACTCTAGATCTGAAAGAATAGCTTGTTCACCCCTACACCTTTATATATTTATATGCAGCCAAATTATTTATATGCTGCTTTATTGTCACCGACCTTAAATACTGAATAATCTTATTATTTTTATTACTTCCATAAACAGAAATATATCGAGTAACGCAATCATTGTATGCGTAGTTATTTCTTAGGCCCCGAAAACTTAAACGCCAGACTTCAGAAAACTGCCGCTGTATAATTATATTACACTGACTGTAACATTGTTTTTTAAAGACTATGTTTGCCTAGTTACATTTTGTGTTTTAAAAGACCAACTTGTGTGACTACCAAACTGATTATTTCATAAATAGATAAAAGGGGCTATTTGTCCGACTGAAAGTCGTCACGGTATGAAACGACACCATGTCAAACCTATGGAAGCCTATTGCGGCCATTTCAGAATCTCGTCTTCTCGCCCTCGACTTCTCGTCTTCTCGTCTTCTCGTGTTCTCGCCCTCGACTTCTCGCGGCGAGAAGACGAGATTCTGAAATGGCCGCAATAGGCTTCCATATGAAAGTAATCTCGTGTTCTCGGGGCGAGATCCTCGTATTCTCGCCCTATTTCCTCGTGTTCTCGTCCTCGACTTCTCGTCTTCTCGTCTTCTCGCCCTCGACTTCTCGTCTTCTCGTGTTCTCGTCCTCGACTTCTCGCGGCGAGAACACGAGATTCTAAAATGGCCGCAATAGGCTTCCATACAAACCAGATCCGTAATATTAGAACTGCAACTCGTGTACATTTAAGTAATTGAAATAATATTCCCTTTGATTTGCGTCCTCGCGAAATGAGATAACTCACTTATGTTAAACATACATTATGCAAGAAATGTTATCTAATTAGACATTAATTAACATTAACTCTCGATATGTCATCGCTAGCCTGCGATATTTATTTGATTAGGATCATGATTTAATCATGAAATGGATAATTGAGACTATGTTTTATTTATCGTACCGACTTTAGTAATGATGGTCGAGGCTAGGCAAAAATCTCGGTTCAGAGTGGATCAATTTGATTAAAATTTTCAGCAAATTACCTTTACATTATCTAGTTTTTAACTATTATTGTAAAAACATGTCAGCTCTTTATCTAAACTTTATAGTATGTCTTTAAGAAAGGTAAACCACGCGCTAACCAACAGACATGGGTGAGGACAATATATGACCACAATAGACATGGAACGTTTCATTTTTCTACAGTTCCATAAACGTATTTGAAGCATTGATATTTTAACAGTGTTACTGCTTGACATTATTATGTTCGGTATTTACAAAATCTAATTATGACCTATTATATTACCTTTTTGCTTTAGCCTATTTACATTATTGACTTTATTATATAACATTTGATTATTGATTATATAACATTGTATTCTTGATAATATTTATATCCCTAATTTAAATATGCATCATGCAAGAGCTAAATCTGTCTATTGCAAGTCTTTCTTTGGACCTGAAATGTTATATAAACTGTTAATTGGACTTTTATTAACATGACAAGACCATAATGAACTCTCGATGCCATCGGATATCTCCGATATTAAGTAGATTAGAACGGTTCAGCCATATTTTGATTTAATTTAAAAATGGTGAAGCGAGGCTAAAATTCGAACAGTGAACAGCCAGTGCGATGGTTGCAATTAATGCACACGTCTTGTCAAACCTTCAAAAGTTAATAGTTTAGCTCACAATGGAGCAATTTGAATAACTTCCAATACATTCATTTTGCATTATCTATTTTCTATTATAGTAAGAATGGCCAATTCTTTTTCTAAATCTTACATAGTGTATCTTTGATTTAAGTAATATATGTATATGTATATGTATATATCAATTTAATGTATACTGTTTTTGTATTGCACACCTTCTTTAATTTATTTAAATACTAGCAGGATACCCGAAACCGGAAGTGGTAGACTAACGCCACCTGGCCTATGTTACTCCCCGGTCCGAGCTACCCCTATACCCCAAATTTCAGACTCGGGGCAGACCTAGTGTAGCCGCCAACCTCGAACAGACCGGCTGCGCTCGAGGGTCATAACTCCGAAACCGGAAGTGGTAGACTAACGCCACCTGGCCTTTGTTACTTCCCGGTCCGAGCTACCCCTATACCCCAAATTTCAGACTCGGGGCAGACCTAGTGTAGCCGCCAACCCCGAACAGACCGGCTTCGCTCGGGGGTCATCACTATGAAACCGGAAGTGGTAGACTAACGCCACCTGGCATATGTTACTCCCCGGTCAGAGCTAACCCAATACCCCAAATTTCAGACTCGGGGCAGACCTAGTGTAGCCGCCAACCCCGAACAGACCGGCTTCGTTCGGGGGTCATAACTCCGAAACCGGAAGTGCTAGACTAACGCCACCTGGCCTATTTTACTCCCTGGTCCGAGCTACCCCTATACCCCAAATTTCAGACTCGGGGCAGACCTAGTGTAGCCGCCAACCCCGAACAGACCGGCTTCGTTCGGGGGTCATAACTCCGAAACCGGAAGTGGTAGACTAACGCCACCTGGCCTATGTTACTCCCCGGTCCGAGATACCTCTGTACCCCAAATTTCAGACTCGGGGCAGATGTAGCCGCCAACCCAGAACAGACAGACTTCGCTCAGGGGTCATAACTCCGAAACCGGAAGTGGTAGACTAACGCCACCTGGCCTATGTTACTCCCCGGTCCGAGCTACCCCTATACCCCAAATTTCAGACTCGGGGCAGACCTAGTGTAGCCGCCAACCCCGAACAGACCGGCTTCGCTCGGGGGTCATAACTCCTAAACCGGAAGTGGTAGACTAACGCCACCTGGCCTATGTTACTCCCCGGTCCGAGCTACCCCTATACCCCAAATTTCAGACACGGGGCAGACCTAGTGTAGCCGCCAACCCTGAACAGACAGACAGACAGACAAACGACAGTCACAAATATATATATAGAAGATAAAGTGTTATTTCGATTCGAAAAAAATGTCAATTTGTAACTTAAGATTGGCATATTCTGCAAACGTAAAAATTATTTAAGTTCGCCAAGATCAAAGAGGTCGTGTCTTTTGGACATAAAATATCCATTAATTTTATTAAGGGTGTTTTGCGGATTTTTTATCATAACTTTCTATGTCATTATGTACAGGAGCAAGGAACTATTTAAACAACATCTCGAGTGAGACGACAAATGCCTGAATCAAAGGTTTCGTGAAATCGCTATCGATGAATTTCCTAATTTGGTGGATATTTCGTATTTGAAAGTAAGCAGTTTTTCAAACATCACTCACATGTGTTTCTAAATTAAATTGCGAGTCAAATACAACACCAAGGTTTCGCGCGCTTGTGTTGGGATTGATTGTTGGGTCATATAAAGTTAGTTGAAATTGTTCTAATTTTGCACTTGATGATTTTGGACATATTATTATAAATCCAGTCTTCATTGAGTTTCAAAAGATGAATGGTCATCCAGTTGGGTATCATCTGCGTTGAGGTGGAAAGAACGCCATGTGATGTAGCTATATTTTGGGCACCAAATGCTGGGAAAATTGTATAAAAAAAATATCGTGTTCTTGAATGTGTCCAATTTAACAGCGAATTTATTATTATTATGTAACATACTAAGATCCTAACTACATTTTTTGGGCACCAACCACCACCGCCCCCCCCCCCCCCAGTCAAAAATTTCCCCGTACGCCTATGCATAAGAGGGCATCATCGGTTATTCCTTTCCGCCTTCTAGAGTATGCAACATGAAGTCATTTACATTTACGTAAAACTCTTATCGATTTTGTATAACGTAAATAAACTGGATATTTTAGTGTAATGTGTAACAGAGTAGATTCCTGAAAATTTTGATTTTGTCGTCCGCTGAACGAAGTAATTAAACTACATGTAGTTATCAACTTTCGTATGCATAAAGGGAAATCTTGACAGGACAGCACTACGATCCACTCTTGTTTCGAATTTAATCTGTTAAGAGAGAGATAGAGAGGAATGAGGTTTAACGTCCACTCGACACAAACTAGGTCATTTGGGGACTAACACATGGTTCAATTTTATTTCAATAATTCGCTTGTGCGTAGGGGTCTTTAGCAGTGGGAGGAAACCGGAGGACCCGGAGAAAACCCACGAGGTTGGACAGGCGACCCTACTCCTTGTCACGTACAACCGGGGAATCGAAACCCCGCCATTTGACTCAATGATACAGCACGCACGTGCTAACCATTCGGCCATCCAACCCCCCTCATCTGTTAAGGGCTCTTTTACATAGACGGGATCTGAGTTTTTCGTCGCACCGAACAAATAGACACTTTATCTTGTCAAGCCCCCTGTGTGGGGCCAGGTGGAAGGGGGGGGGGGCATTTTGAACATTCAATTACACCACCCAAACCAACATAAATCTCAAATTTACACATGTACAGTCCAAGAGAACCGACAGTTGGCGCTTCGACAATAGAATTGAGCATGCCAGGTACGGGCCGGAAGTCGAGGTGAAATTATTTCGTGCTTGTGAAAGTGAGACGCAAAGAAATATCGCGTCTTCGAGGCTTCGCTTCTTTATGAATAAACAAAGCAAGAGATGAACAAGACGAAGTAAAGAAGTCTCAACTTCTTGGCTTTGCACTGATTATTGCCGATCATTTTCATAGCAAGCGACGGGGTGAGATTAGGGCTTCCCGGCTTCGCCTTCGACCGTAGTTAACGCGAAGGCAAAAAAGCGCGAATCAGTTGTAAAAATTAACATGGTAACACTGTCCCAAGATAATCCACCTGGTTACAGACGGCAATGTACGTGTTTCGGAAAACTTATAGCAAATGAAAATCCTTAATTCATTTTAAATTTTTGACATGTCCGGGAAATAGGCAATTTGGTGTGAATCATTTTTCAACATTTTATACCCATAATGGTTGTTTGATTTTCATAAAAATTTGCACCATTCTGTGAATATTCCTTAGATGTAACCAATTGGTCACTAAAAATGACGTCATTGTGGCCAAAATTGTTTTCTTGCGAACATATATACATCAAAAGTTTCTAACTTCAGTCATTGCCAAGAAATAGGAAATTGTTCAAGAGTAAACTTTTACGTTGTTCTGCCCACAACACATTGATTGATTATTTCCTTTGATCTCCCATGCATGTTATGAAACGTATCAATCTGTTGTGACGTCATCAGAGGGTGGTATCTGTTATCGGCCCTAGGTACGATATCAGATATCACCCTCTGATGACGTCACAACAGGTTTAAGGACTGCTCAATGAAAAAGGACACAAATTTTTTCTTTTAACATTTTATTTACTTATTGTACAATGTTGTAAAACGATTCGGACGACGAACTTTACCAGGCCCAAGTTACTTAGTTTCTTCATCTGACCATCAACAACTTGTCTAAAACTCTCAAATTCTGAAATGTGTAGTATCACGTCAGTTTTACT